TCATTGTTGTTATACATGTTTTATTTATTGAACAGCAATATATTTTTTTGAAAAATGATGTGACATCATTTTCCGGAGTGGGGGAGAATGTAGCAGTGATAATATTTTAACATTTAAACATTTTTTAAATATTTATATTGTTTTTGTCATGATGTGCCTTTAATATTTACAGGTCATCATTGGCTTCAAATACTAGTGAGAACTTTTCACACATTCCAAGATACTGACATGTAAAGCTATTTATAAATTGAGTTGACAGGTGTATGTTTTCATCCAATCAGATGAGAGTATTGTTATATTGTGATGACATGACAAGGTTTGGTGTGTTGTTTCAAAGTTTTAGAGTTAGAGGAAGGTTATCAGGTTTGCTTTGCTCTTTGATTATTTCTGTTGAATTTAAAGTGTTTGGAGGAGAATTAGACTAGGCACACAAGTCAAATTCACTGGATGATCGAGTGATTGTTTGAGGAGAAATATTCATAAATATAGAAGAGGGTACTTGTATCGTTCATTTTGATGTTTCTTATATTGTATAAAGAACACCGAATAAATATATCTAGCTAAGAACCCTATTGCGTTGTCTTGCCCTGAGACCATAGGAACCCAGCTGTTAGATTTATATTCAAGACCATTTTAATTAGTAGACAGAATGTTCTTAATATTTGAATAGAAAAGAATTTGATATAGTACATTGAAGAAATATCGGGGGTCACTATGCTACTTATTAAGTTACTTGACCCTGAAAGAGAGTTATTTTTACTCGTTTAGATAATTTTCAAGAGCAGAAATCTAAAAAAAATATGTATACAGTATTTTAAGACGTAAATCCTGACATATTGAATTTATTTACCTGCAAAACTGGAGTGAAAATGTGAAACCTAAAGTCGCTACTTTGCCTGAGCAGTCCTATCCGTCTTTTTCAGTGCCTTCAGCTCTTTAATCTAATTGGTTGTACAACAAAACCATATTATTTTCCCTCGAAAAATCATTAAATTCTTAACAAGTTTCTTATATAATTATATACGTTCAATATTCCAAAAATTGACAAATGTACACTTGAATTTGATGTTAATTTCAGAAATGAGTTTGTTTCGAACTTGTATAATACTATCAGGATAACTTACGAAACACATCGGTAATTCTATTCAGATGCCCGTTTCTGCCTGAAACAAAATTTTGCTAAAATGGGCACTTGAGTAAGTAAACAAGTAAAGCTGAAAAGTCGCCATAAGACCTACCACCGTACCACCGCCCCCCCCCAAAAAAAAAAAAAAAATAAAATAAATAAAAATAAAAAATTGATAAATAAATAAATAAAAAAAATAAATAAAAAATATAAATAAAAAAAACAACAAGAAAATAAAACAATAAAAATATCATATGAGACAAAGTTTTTAAAATTATCATCTCCTACAGGACGAAATGTCATAAACTGTTTTAAATTTTAACACGTAATATATAGAGGTTAATACCTTTATGAGTGTGATTACATTAAAATACATTGTGCTCGTTAAAGTAAATACGTTTTCTATCTACAAATATCGAGATTGAAACTTTTCAATATACATTAAAACGAACTTGTTTTAAACTTTCCTTACTGCAAACTAGAAACATATTTACTTTCGTTTGAATATAAATATAAATAAACTTACATTATTTAAAAGAATAAAAAAATAAAAAAATGTATATTTATCTTTTTTTGCCGGTGTATAATTTTTCAATATATAAAAAATTGCTACTTTTTGATAGTTTTTATACATTTTTTCTTCATTCATTTATCTTTATAAACACGATAATTATGATACAATGTTGTGAAAAATCAACATACGTTTTGACCGTTGACTCCGTTGCCCCCAAAAATCTCCGTTCCGTATTATAGTCACACCTGATGAATTGTGGGTAACTTTTCTACATGTCTGGGAAAACCAACTTTCATTTTTTTTATCAAAAACACATATGGAAAATGCAATTTCTAGCGTAATTGTTGTTAAAGGGTTGGTTATAATGTAAAAAATTGTTTTTTAGTTACAATGTTGTGATTTATGTAGAGATTTGTTTACATTTATTTTGGACACCAAATTGACTGTGTCAAGTTTTGTTTCACTTATAAGATTTTTATCGATATTTCGAGCGGTACTTGTGATTATAAGTTAAGAAATGCTGCACTCCTGGACTTGCTGCACTGCTAAGACTTCCTGCAGTATTGGACTTGCTGCAGTATTGGACTTGCTGCACTATTGGACTTGCTGCACTATTGGACTTGCTGCACTATTAGACTTGCTGCACTTCTGGACTTGATGCATTATTGGACTTGCTGTGCTCCTTGGTCTTGCTGCACAGTTGGACTAACTGCGCTTCTTATACTTGCTGTGCCCCTTGGACTTGCTGCACTATTGGACCTGCTACGCTTCTTATACTTGCTGCGCATCTTGGACTTGTTGCGCTCTAAGCTTAGACTTGCTTCAAAAAATGCTCTCATTACAGATACGTTACCTAATCATTCGTGCGCACAGGTCATTTTCTATTTAGATAAAGTACTAGAGTACATTATCAAGGGGCATCCAAGCAAGAAATGCAGCAAGTGACGATGATCTAGTAGACATCTGATGACCAGATCTTCTTATAAACTTTTCAATGGTTAATTGGATTTTACCAGAATATTGTACATGTATATCATATATGAATGGGCGGACGAAAGACATTGTTCATCATGAACTTTAGTAGGCTTGCTAGAGATAAGAGTATTAAATGTATTTTCTTTAGAAAATACAATACAGTAGTCAAAATGAACAAAGTCTGTTTTTTTATTATAAAACTGTAACACATATACAAACAAAATATAAAAATTGCAATAAAATGGATTAATATAGTGATATTACATGCATTTTTTTCATGTCATATTAAGAAAAATGTTTCTTTTAATACCTGGGAGTTAAGATACAGTAGCTATATTCTAAGTCCAAGATAAATATTGGAAGTAGAACACACACTGGGGTGAAAAATTTGGGATGAATTTCAAAAAAGACCAAATTCAGGATTTGTTTTGTTTTACGCGTTAACAAAAAATAATGGTACATTAAACATCATGAATAAATTTGGCATGTTGATATAGATCTAGTGAAACATTATTTACCAATGGAAGACTGTTACCTGGATTTTATACAGATACGAGGAAATTCACTAACATCATGTTCATATAAAAGCTACTTGACATTGATTATAAATAAAGAGCTATTGTTAATTGATTTATTGGGAGATCAATCTACTACTTCGTTGAATTTCTTCAAAATCCTCTTTCAGATTTAACACCTCATGTTAAAGCTGCAGACGAAAGTTTCTGTTGTTAAAATGTCACAGTATTCGGAAAATCAACATTCCACTGTGACTCAAACCACCATAAAACCGATAGCCTTCAAACAAAATAGAATCAACTTCTTACAGCAAAAATTCGGGAAATCAGGGTCGATGTTAAAAAATGTCAGAAGTGCAATCAAGGTTGTAAAAAAGAAAGGAGCTATTTTTATATCGAAAAAAATCCCTACGGAAAAGACAATTTCAAAATGATGAAACTATGATATAACAACTTTAAAAATAGCCTACTTGTTTTGTTTTCGATAAATCAATGAAGAGTGCAATTTATGGTTGAATATGTTTGCATTTCATTTCCTGCAAAACTCTCCAGCTCGTCATTCATTATCATAGCGCGAAACAAATGTCCTTAAATAGATTTTCGTCATTGTACACAATGGGCGCTGAGCAATAAACTAAACTTACCCCAAACCGTGAGGTAAAAGTAACAGCCAAACTCGCGTTATTAAAATATTATGATATGATGATCGCTATCACATTGCTGGCAAAAATCTAGCAAGTGGCCTTACTTACTGTAAGCAGGATAGATGTATCTCAATATTTCTCGAAGATACGATTATTGCTTAAACGAGCATTAAAGTCTCCAGAAATCTTTGGATAATGCCAACCCCTCTTACGAGTGTTAAAGGCAGACATTTAGTGCACGTCGGATTGTTAGTAAAAGGTGAAAAGAAAAGCTAAAAAAGAAAAGTCCAAACATTAACATGCTTGGAAGGTGAGACTGAAAATTTATTCTAGTCATGGTTAAAATGTTAATAGTGAAACAAGATGATAAGAGATAAAATGGTTTAAAAACACTGGGAGTAGGACTAGAACTGCAAACCCGAAGGCAGGGTGGCAATGTTACTAGGAAGTTTATTCCATAGTATAATGCTATGAGGGGAGAAAGAGTACTTATGGTAGTCGGAGGATACCTGTATTTGGCGTAGGGATAAGGGGTGCATATGTCTGGTTAATCTGTGTGGGGTATGAACATGTGTTGGGAGATTAATTGCAACTAGGTTATGGTATATCTTATAAAACATTATCAGTCTACAGTCCAATCTGCGATGTTCAAGGGATCGCCAGCCCAGTTCTTCCTGCATGACTGTGACACTACAGTAAGGGGAGTAATCCCTTTTAACCCATCTTATTGCACGTCTCTGGATCATCTCAACTTTGTCAATATTGGTTTTAGTGTAAGGAGACCAAATAAATGAAGCATATTCAACCTGTGGCCGGACCAGGGACTTATATGCTAGTTCTTTCACTTTCTCATTTTAGTAATAACATTTCTTTTAAGAAAGCCAATGGATCTGTTTGCATTTGAAGTTATTTGAGATATATGTGTATTAAATTTAAGGTGAGCAGACAAATCTAGTCCGAGATATTTAGCATTTGTAACAGACTCTAGGACTTGGCCATGGAGCATATATTTGTGTTTAATTATGGTTTAATTTTTGGTGATATGGGTGACTTGGCATTTTGAAGTGTTAAACTCCATGTCCCACTGCTTCTCCCACAAAACCATATTGTCTAGATCATGTTGGAGAGTAAGGTGGGGGGGGGGGGTCTGAGGAGGAATTGATGGTTAGGTATACAGCAGTGTCGTCTGCAAATAATCTGACTTAAGGATTTAATCTGGATTTAAGAAAAGAAGATGGTAGCTTGTGGATATATAGAAGGAAACAGAGGGGCCATAGGACAGAGCCTTGGGGCACTCCAGAGGTAACTGGAACTTCTGATAAGCAGTCACTATCCACAACTATTGTCTGTACTGTCTGTCTACGGCCAATAAGGAAGGGCTGTATCCAGTTTAGAATTTAAGGACAAACACCATGTTCTTGAAGGGTATCTAAGAATTTAAGATGGTTTACTTTATCGAAAGCTTTAGAGAAGTCCAGTAGTATAAGATCTTATCAATAATCATACTCCTGTTTCTTTTCTGTTATAACGATTTGCCCAATCAATTGTTCAGTTTATTCGGTTCCTATAACTACTTGATATTTCAATAAAAATATTTAAATCTTAACTAATACAAAACAAATTTCATCTTGCATCTTTTCTTTCAAGTGAACACGAAGCCTAATTCAACGGTTACTATGGAAGTGACACCTTATGAGGTAATTCCGGAGTGCTATCCTCGGTTCAAGAATGCCGACAAACGCATATGTGACATTACCGATAGGACAAACAAGCTTTTATTAGACACATTTGTACCAACTCTGGTCCGGAAGACTTTTCCAAAACGAAACATTTGTCACAATGTTAAACTTTATCTGTGTAAAATGGAAGAAGACAAGATGAATCTGAATGTAGAAAACTTTGTTATGAAAAATGAAAGCTACACCACTAAACAAACTCACAAATATAGAAATGCTGGACAGTTTCTCACTGAAAATAGAAATTCCTTTGACTCGACCACAGTCTTAGTTTTTCAAGCATGCCAGGATCTGGGTCATGAACTCGAGAAATTTCTACAACCAGGACCGTCCGTCATCATTGTTACATGTTTAAAAGAAGGGCAAGACGCGGAAAATCAATACGACCATCTAAACTGCAAGACAGTGCCATCAGAAGAAAACATTGCTGAAGTGATAGGCTCTTTGCTAGAACAAATGGCGTTCAAACCAATGAAAGAAATGTTCGAATACATCAGAGGTCTGTGTTATGAAAATCACAGCAGTAGTATTGTCACTAAACTAGATCGTAGTGGTAAGTCTTTTTATCATATATGAAATTGTACGTGCGTATTACTATGTGAAAGTACGAAAACTAGACACCTGAACAATACATATTAATTATGTCGTACTCTTATCATAATCCTGTCGAGTCTTTAGACTAAAGGAAGAGAAACAACATTGATATGTTATAGTATTTAAGATCGTACACGACAGCATATCACCAACTTTATTGCATATTTATCAAAGTGTTAACTCGACCACATCAATAATTATATTAAAGGAATCCGCCATTTCTTTTAAATTTAAACTTTGATTCATTTTCTGTTTTGTAAAATTTAATTAAATTTCATGAAAAGAAAAATACTTAAAAAATATAAATAATTGTTGATTAACCTTTTCTTTTTAAGAACCTGAACAAATGCTAGATACGAATGGATCCTTGTGTAATGAAGGAAAATTGGGTAAAAACATGATTTATGCTTGTAATGTGGTTTGTTAATATTCTTTAGTACGATTTATGTACTTTTACTTTATATTTTTAAAAGTTCCTCAGAATAAGCATATCTCAATACATGTGTCATGAACAGGCTGGTGAAAATGCCCGATCGGTATATGTAATCTGTATATAAACAAAAACCTACTAACATCCTCAGTGAATTGATTTATTTTACAAAACTAGCCGGCTATTTAATAAGACATGTACTATGTACATGGCAAAATCACATTGTAGATTTATCTCAGTGGTAAATTTGCGCATATCAGCGTTAATTTACCAACTTTGCCTGAATCACATTTCATCTCCTCACCTTTCTTCCATATTATGTGACGGCAATAATTTAGCGAATGTCTTAGGCAAGGTTAAAAAGAAGCAATTATGTTTCCTTAAAAAACACAACAACAAAAACAACAAAAAAACAACAACAAAAAACACGCACGTACGCCTACACACGCGCGCGCGCGCGCGCACACACACACACACACACGCACACACACACCAACACACACACACACACACGCGCATACACACCAAAAACACACAAAAAAACCCCACACACAACACCCCCAAAAACCAACAGCTTATTTTTTTGTTGCGGGATATTTTATTTTGTTAACGTACAATTGTATATAATGTAAAGAATTTTTAATTTTGAGGGACATTTAAGTGTTCATAAATTAACTTTATTTTATGGGATCAGAAACATATCGAGAGCTTGCATCTTTAATTCTAGAGGGACATTTTGGAGTTAATTTTAAGGTATTGTAGACTTAATTTCTATTTAATGGAGTAAATTGTTTATTTGTTTCCTGCAAATAAATTTTGTTAAGTTTAAAAGACCTTGTTGCTGGTTTTGCTTTCCTATCCTTCTCATTACGTCTGGAACTTAACATTATGTTGCTGATGAGATGAAACCTTGACTCGTCTATGAAAAGAGCTGCAAGAACCAAGTCTTGCTACCCGAAGCGTTTGTTGAAGTTTGCTGTGTTGAAGGGATTGAAAAAATATTCGTTGACAACGTCTTCTGAGGCTAGGATCACCATTAACTTCTGTGACTTTCAGGGAAGTGTAACACCAAGACTTACGCCCTTGTTGTTGATTTTGCAAGACATACAACCCCGTAGTCGAATGTCAGTTTTACAAAAGTCGCCTTCAAATCAGAAGCAAGATTATCTTTTATCATAAATATTGTAAATAGAAGAATATCTTTAAATAGGTGAATAATGCCATAGCTGACGTATGTGCTATTTATTTTGAAAATGTATTGGTCCGTTTACTTATCGTTATTGTCAGTTTGAACTCGATTTCATAGTTTGAGATTCCTGCGTTTTCGACCTCTAACAATTTAGTCAGACACACTAAATGTAAAATTGAAATAGAAATTGATTTACACTTTAGGCGTATTTTAGTGTTCTTGAATTTATGTGAAATTTATTGCACGGAAACGAAGTGGTCTACCGACCGACTGACCGTTCTACCAACCATTACACCGACAAATAAACCGAAATTTGTAAAACAATATAACTATTTTCTACGAAAAGGGTCAAAAATACGATAAAGTTTATGAATATTATCCAACCCACGCAAAAACTGTACACTACATAAAATCAGTAACCAAAGTTCGTTATAATTTAATCTAAAATTATTTTCGAAACGCCGACTTGAATGAATCCGAAACATGTAGGAAATAAAAAAAGTTGATATTGACGTATGGAAGTCAATACATACAGTTATAAAAAACACATGATACTACTTTAGATGAGACCTTAATGATTCCAATCAAATGCTTCTTTTCATGAATGTGATTGAATGCAAAAGATTGATAGAATATTGCATTTGATGTAACATCAATCATTTTCCCACTTTTCCATATGTCTATTTTTAACATTTTACATTTTCTTGTTTTGTAGCAAAACTTTTAAGTTCTACGAATGATTCGCACAATAAAAAAAGAAAATTGGAAACAAGCACTGAAAAAGGAACGTGTACCACCCCCAGACAAGAAGTGAATGGTTTGTAAATTTTTTCAAGTGAACTTGAATTTTTTATATCAGGTTGCTCTATAAAAGTTCGAAGATACCAATATAGTAATTTTAACATTGAGTTTATGTAATTCTCACTTTAGCAGGTTATGAATATATAATTTGATGTTTAAATCGCCTCTCTGTTACGAAATATAATTTTCTAAGATGAGCTGGATAAAAAGTTTAAATAAATAAATACTTTTCGAGGTAATATAGAAGTCATATTCACGTATGTTTTGGCTACAATAGTTTTAATTTGATATTTATATTCAAATCTAGGATTTGCAAGACAGTGCAATGAAATTGAAGAGAATGAAGTGGCAAAACAGGAAGGTAAAATAACAAATGACCAAAGATTTTTATCTGCCATATGCTGTACAAAATTGAAAATTTGCTTATTCGGCTATAAAGTTAAATTGTTTGCACTTTGTGATTGCTGTGCCATTATGTCTTTGAAACTTCGTAAGAAATATAGAATATCATCTCATTTAAATAAAATATGAATTCATGCGTTTTTAATTGCTTGGGGTTACTGCCGATTTTGTAAATAAAGGATTAATGAAGTAATACTGGAAATGGGATGAGTCTTGTAAAATATTGAACCAAAGATTGTTATAATTTAATCAAGAATTATTTTCAAAACGACGACTTGAATGAATCCGACACATGTAGGAAAAACAAAGTTAATATTGACGTATGGAAGTCGATACATACAGTTATAAAACACATGATTCTATTTTAGATGTTACCTTTATGATTCCTTTAAAATGCTTCGTTTCATGAATATCATTGAATGCAAAATATTGAGAAAATATTGCATTTGATGTAACATCAATCATTTTCCCACTTTTCCATATGTCTATTTTTAACATTTTACCTTTTCTTGGTTTGTAGCAAAACTATTAGGTTCTACGAATGATTCGCACAATAAAAAAAGAAAACTGGAAACAAGCACTGAAAAAGGAACGTGTACCACCCCCAGACAAGAAGTGAATGGTTTGTAAATTTTTTCAAGTGAACTTGAATTTTTTATATCAGGTTGCTCTATAAAAGTTCGAAGATACCAATATAGTAATTTTAACATTGAGTTTATGTAATTCTCACTTTAGCAGGTTATGAATATATAATTTGATGTTTAAATCGCCTCTCTGTTACGAAATATAATTTTCTAAGATGAGCTGGATAAAAAGTTTAAATAAATAAATACTTTTCGATGTAATATAAAAGTCATATTCACGTATGTTTTGGCTACAATAGTTTTAATTTGATATTTATATTCAAATCTAGGATTTGCAAGACAGTGCAATGAAATTGAAGAGAATGAAGTGGCAAAACAGGAAGGTAAAATAACAAATGACCAAAGATTTTTATCTGCCATATGCTGTACAAAATTGAAAATTTGCTTATTCGGCTATAAAGTTAAATTGTTTGCACTTTGTGATTGCTGTGCCATTATGTCTTTGAAACTTCGTAAGAAATATAGAATATCATCTCATTTAAATAAAATATGAATTCATGCGTTTTTAATTGCTTGGGGTTACTGCCGATTTTGTAAAAAAAGGATTAATGAAGTAATACCGGAAATGGAATGTGTCTTATAAAATATTGAACCAAAGTTTGTTATAATTTAATCTAAAATTATTTTCGAAACGTCGACTTGAATGAATCCGACACATGTAGGAAATAAAAAAAGTTGATATTGACGTATGAAAGTCAAACATACAGTTATAGAAAAACACATGATACTACTTAAGATGAGACCTTTAGAATTCCAATCAAATGCTTCTTTTCATGAATATTATTGAATGCAAATTATTGAGAAAATATTGCATTTGATGTAACATCAATCATTTTCTCACTTTTCCATAGGTCTATTTTTAACATTTTACATTTTCTTGTTTTGTAGCAAAACTATTAGGTTCTACGAATGATTCGCACAATAAAAAAAGAAAACTGGAAACAAGCACTGAAAAAGGAACGTGTACCACCCCCAGACAAGAAGTGAATGGTTTGTAATTTTTCTCAAGTGTACTTGATGCATAACAAAACAATTTTTTTATGTCAGGTGGCTCTATAAAAGTTCGAAGATACCAATATAGTAATTTTAACATTGAGTTTATGTAATTCTCACTGTAGCTGTTTATGAATATATAATGTGATGTTTAAATCGCCTCTCTGTTACGAAATATAATTTTCTGAGATGAGCTGGATGAAAAGTTTAAATAAAATAAATTATACTTTTCGATGTAATATAGAAGTCATATTCACGTATTTTTTGGCTACACTAGTTTCAATTTGATATTTATATTTAAATCTAGGGTTTGAAAGACAGTGCAATGAAATTGAAGAGAATGAAATGGCAAAACAGGAAGGTAAAATAGCAAATGACAAAAGATTTTTATCGGTCATATGCTGTAAAAAATTGAAAATTTGCTTATTCTGCTGTAAAGTTAAATTGTTTGCACTTTGTGGTTGCTGTGCCATTATGCCATTATGAAACTTCGTTAGAAATATAGAATAATATCTCATTTAAATAAAATATGAATTCATGCGCTTTTAATTGGTTGGGGTTACTGCCGGTTTTGTTCAAAAAAAAAATTAATGAAGTAATACTGGAAATCGGGTGTGACTTATAAAATATTGAACCAAAGTTTGTTATAATTTAATCTAAAATTATTTTCAAAACTTCGACTTGAATGAATCCGACACATGTAGGAAATAAAAAAAGTTGATATTGACGTATGGAAGTCAATACATATAGTTATAGAAAAAACACATGATACTACTTTAGATAAGACCTTTAGGATTCCAATCAAATGCTTCTTCAAGAATTTAATTGAATGCAAAATATTGAGAGAATATTGCATTTGATGTAACGTCAAACATTTTTCACACTTTTCCATACTTTTATGTCTCTTTTTAAAATTCTTCCCTTTTTGTTTAGTATCAAAACCATCAAGTCCTACGAATGACTCGCACAATGAAGAAAGAAAATTGCAAACATGCACTGAAACAGGAACGTGTGCCTCTTCCAGTGACGACAGTCGAAAATTAAATGGTTTGTAAATTTTCTCAAGTACGAGTACACTTTATGTATTACAAAATAATCATTTATGTCAGGTTGCTCTATAAAAGTTCGAAGATACCAATATAGGTATTTAAAAATTGATTTTATGTTATTCTCACTGTAGCAGTTAATGAATATAAAGAGGATATTTGTTTAGTTCAGTGTAAGATCGGAATGTATTTCACCGAGTGAGCACCAAAAGGTAAATATGAACTTTTGGTGTTTACAAGGTGAAATATATTTCGATCTTACACTAAACTAAAAAAATTTTCTTTTTATTATATGCAAAGAAACGTTTTAAAAAGACAGTAAACCTAAAACTGAATGAAATACGCGCCAAATAATAATACAACGTGACGTCATTTACGACGTCACGTCATTAAGTTGGTACCCAGTACTGTGCACGCTGGTATTTCACTGAAACAACGTAAGGGGCTTAAATTCAAAACAGTGAAATTACCAAAGTGGTAATTTCACTGTTTCAAACAGTGAAATTACCAATTTTATATCACTGATATATTTCTATAAACCACCGAAAAGCATGTAATAAATAATGTGATGTTTATATCGCTTCTGTGTTACGAAATATAACTTTCTAAGATGATCTGCATAAGAAGTTTAGATAAAATAGATTATACTTTTTGATTTTTAAGGGAATTTGAATTATAAAGAGGCCATATTTATGTATATTTTGGCTACCACAGTTTTAATTATATATTTATATTTCAATCTAGGGCTTGTCAGAGAGTGCAATGAAATTGAAGAGAATGAAATTGCAAAACAGGAAGGTAAAATAACAAATGACAAAATATTTTTTTATCTGCTCTGCCATATGCTGTAAACTATTGAAAATTTGCTTATTCTGCTGTAAAGTTAAATTGTTTGCACTTTGTGATTGCTGTGCCATTATGTCTTTGAAACTTCGTTAGAAATATAGAATAATATCTCATTTAAGAAAATATGAATTCATGCATTTTTTAATTGCTTGGGGTTACTGCCGATTTTGTAAAAAAAGGATTAATGAAGTTATACCGGAAATGGAATGTGTCTTATAAAATATTGGACCAAAGTTTGTTATAATTTAATCTAAAATTATTTTCAAAACGCCGACTTAAATGAATCCGACACATGTAGGAAATATAAAAAGTTGATATTGACGTATGGAAGTTAAACATACAGTTATAGAAAAACACATGATTTTTTAGATGAGACCTTTAGAATTCCAATCAAATGCTTCTTTTCATCAATATGATTGAATGCAAAATATTGAGAGAATATTGCATTTGACGTACACGTCAATCATTTTCCCCACTTTTCCATAGGTCTCTTTTTAAAATTCTACCTTTTCTTGTTAAGTATCAAAAATATCAAGTTCTATGAATGACCCGCACAATGGAAAAAGAAGATTGCAGACAAGCAGTGAAACAGGAACGTGTACCTCTTCCAGTGACGGCAGTCGAAAATTGAATGGTTTGTTAATTTTCTCAGGTACACTTTATGCACAGCAAAAAAAATATTTATGTCAGGTTGCTCTATAAAAGTCTATAAAAGTCCGAAGATACCAATATAGGTATTTTAAAATTGATTTTATGTAATTCTCACTGTAGCAGTTAAGAATATATAATGTGATGTTTAAATCGCCTCTCTGTTACGAAATATAATTTTCTAAGATGATCTGCATAAGAAGTTTAAATAAAATAGATTATACTTTTTAATTTTTTAAGGGAGTCCAATTTATATAGAGGTCATATTGACATATTTTTTTGGCTATAATAGTTTTAATTTTATAATTATATTTCAATTTAGGACTTGTCAGAGTGTGCAATGAAATTGAAGAGAATGAAATTGCAAAACGGGAAGGTAAATTAACAAATGACAAAATTTTTTATCTGTCATATGCTGTAAAATATTGAAAATTTGCTTATTCTGCTATAAAGTTAAATTGTTTGCACTTTGTTATTGCTGTTTCATTATGTCTTTGAAACTTCGTAAGAAATTTAGAATAATATCTCATTTAAATAAAATATGAATTCATGCGTTTTTAAATTGCTTGGGGTTACTGCCGACTTTGTAAATAAACGAATAATGAAGTAATATTCGAAATGGAATGTGTCTTATAAAATACTGAACCAAAATTTGTTTTAATTTAATATAGAATTATTTTCAAAACGTCGACTTGGATGAATCCGACACATGAAGGAAATACAAAAATTTAATATTGACGTATGGAAGTCAAAACATGCATTTAAAGAAAAAAACATGATACTACTTTAGCTGAGACATTTAGGATTCCAATCAAATGCTTCTTCGAGAATATAACTGAATGCAAAATATTGAGAGAATATTGCATTTGATGTAACGTCAATCATTTTCACACTTTTCCATACTTTAAGTTCTCTTTTTAAAATTCTTCCGTTTTTGTTCAGTATCAAAACCATCAAGTTCTACGAATGACTCGCACAACGAAGAAAGAAAATTGCAAACATGCACTGAAACAGGAACGTGTGCCTCTTCCAGTGACGACAGTCGAAAATTAAATGGTTTGTAAATTTTCTCAAGTACGAGTACACTTTATGTATTACAAAACAATCATTTATGTCAGGTTGCTCTATAAAAGTTCGAAGATACCAATATAGGTATTTAAAAATTGATTTTATGTTATTCTCACTGTAGCAGTTAATAAATATATAGAGGATATTTGTTTAGTTCAGTGTAAGATCGGAATGTATTTCACCGAGTGAGGACCAAAAAGTATATTTAACGAGTGGCACAGCCACGAGTGAAATATGAACTTTTGGTGTTTACAAGGTGAAATATATTTCGATCTTACACTAAACTAAAAAAAATTTATTTTTATTATATGCAAAGAAACGTTTTAAAAAGACATTAAACCTAAAACTGAAAAATGAATAGCGCGCCAAATAATAATACAACGTGACGTCATTTACGACGTCACGTCATTAAGTTGGTACCCAGTACTGTGCACGCTGGTATTTCACTGAAACAACGTAAGGGGCTTCAATTCAAAACAGTGAAATAATCAAAGTGGTAATTTCACTGTTTCAAACAGTGAAATTACCAGTTTTATATCACTGATATATTTCTATAAACCACCGAAAAGCATGTAATAAATAATGTGATGTTTATATCGCTTCTGTGTTACGAAATATAATTTTCTAAGATGATCTGCATAAGAAGTTTAGATAAAATAGATTATACTTTTTGATTTTTTAAGGGAATTTGAATTATAAAGAGGCCATATTTATGTATATTTTGGCTACCACAGTTTTAATTATATATTTATATTTTAATCTAGGACTTGTCAGAGAGTGCAATGAAATTGAAGAGAATGAAATGGCAAAAGAGGAAGGTAAAATAACAAATGACAAAAGATTTTTATCTGCCATATGCTGTAAAATATTGAAAATTTGCTTATTCTGCTGTAAAGTTAAATTGTTTGCACTTTGTTATTGCTGTTTCATTATGTCTTTGAGACTTCGTAAGAAATATAGAATAATATCTCATTTAAATGAAATATAAATTCATGCGTTTTTAATTGGTTGGGGTTACTGCTAATAAAAAGAAAGATTAATGAAATAATACTGGAAATGGGATGTGTCTTATAAAATATTGAACCAAAATTTGTAATTTAATCTAAAATTATTTTCAAAACTTCGACTTGAATGAATCCGACACATGTAGGAAATAAAAAAAGTTGATATTGACGTATGGAAGTCAATACATACAGTTATAGAAAAAATACAAGATACTACTTTAGATAAGACCTTTATGATTCCAATCAAATGCTTCTTCAAGAATTTAATTGAATGCAAAATATTGAGAGAATATTGCATTTGATGTAACGTCAATCAGTTTTCACACTTTTCCATACTTTTATGTCTCTTTTTAAAATTCTTCCTTTTTGTTTAGTATCAAAACTATCAAGTTCTACGAATGACTCGCGTAATGAAGAAAGAAAATTGAAAACATGCACTGAAACAGGAACGTGTGCCTCTTCCAATGACGACAGTCGAAAATCAAATGGTTTGTAAATTTTCTCAAGTACGAGTACACTTTATGTATTATAATACAATCATTTATGTCAGGTTGCTCTATAAAAGTTCGAAGATACCAATACAGGTATTTAAAAATTGATTTTATGTTATTCTCACTGTAGCAGTTAATGAATATATAATGTGATGTTTATTAATATCGCTTCTCTGTTACGAAATATAATTTTCTAAGATGATCTGCATAAGAAGTTTAGATAAAATAGATTATACTTTTTGATTTTTTAAGGGAATTTAAATTATAAAGAGGCCATATTTACGTATATTTTGGCTACCAAAGTTTTAATTATTTATTTATATTTCACTCTAGGACTTGTCAGAGAGAGCAATGAAATTAAAGAGAATGAAATTGCAAAACGGGAAGGTAAAATAACAAATGACAAAATATTATTTATCTGCCATATGCTGTAAACTATTGAAAATTTGCTTATTCTGCTATAAAGTTAATTGTTTTCACTTTGTTATTGCTGTGCCTTATGTCTTTGAAACTTCGTAAGAAATTTAGAATAATATCTCATTTAAAAAAATATGAATTCATGCGTTTTTTAAGTGCTTTGAGTTAATACCGATTTTGTAAATAAAGGATTAATGAAATTATACTGGAAATGGAATGTGTCTTATAAAATATTGAACCAAGTTTGTTATAATTTAATCTAAAATTATTTTCAAAACGCCGACTTAAATGAATCCGAAACATGTAGGAAATAAAAAAAGTTGATATTGACATATGGAAGTCAATACATACAGTTATAGAAAAAACACATGATTGTTTAGATGAGACCTTTAGGATTCCAATCAAATGCTTCTTTTCATGAATATGACTGAATGCAAAAGATTGAGAGAATATTGCATTTGATGTAAACATCAATCATTTTCCCACTTTTCCATAGGTTTTATTTATAAATTTTTACCTTTTCTTGTTTAGTAGCAAAACTATCAAGTTCTACGAATGACTCGCACAATAAAAAAAGAAAATTGCCAAGAAGCACTAAAAAAGGAACGTGTACCACCTCCAGACAAGAACTGAACGGTTTGTAAACTTTCTTAAGTGTACTTTATGCATAACAAAACAATTATTTATATCAAGTTGCTCTATAAAAGTTCGAAGATACCAATAAAGTAATTTTAAAAATTGAGTTTATGTAATTCTCACTGTAGCAGTTAATGAATATATAATGCGATGTTTAAATCGCCTCTCTGTTACGAAATATAATTTTCTAAGATGATCAGCATAAGAAGTTTATCAAATAAAATAAGTTATACTTTTCGATTTTTTAAGGTGAGTCGCATTTATATAGAGGTCATATTCACGTATTTTTTGGTACCATAGTTTAATTTTATATTTATATTTCAATCTAGGACTTGTCAGAGAGTGCAATGAAATTGAGGAGAATGATATGGCAAAACAGGAAGGTAAAATAACAAATGACAAATATTTTTATTTGTTATATGGTGTTAAATATTTAAAATGTGCTTATTCTGCTGAAAAATAAAATTGTTTGCACTTTGTAATTGCTATTTCATTATGTTTTTAAACCTTGTATGAAATATAGAATAATATCTCATTTAAATAAAACATGAATTCATGCGTTTTAAATTGCTTGGGGTTATTACCGATTTTGTAAATGAAGGATTAATGAAGTAATATTGGAAATGGCATGTGTCTTATAAAATATTGAACCAAAGTTTGTTATAATTTAATCTAGAATTATTTTCAAAATGCTTGAATGAATCTAACACATGTAGGAAATAAAAAAGTTGTTATTTTAAATAAGAAATGATAAGAATCCCTAAAGACTTTCCAAAAGAACAACATTGAAAATGTTGAGTAAGGCTGTTTACGGATAGTAGCGGAATGTACAAACGACCGCAAAAGCTACTTATACTATACAGGATGTTTAATTAAAAATGGATAATGAATCAAGTACATCTAAAAACTGGGAGTGCATTACAGCTTGGTACAACTAAGGAGACATTGGGTAATTACAATTAAATTATACATGATTTTAATATAATTACAATATTTTTGAATTTATACTTCTTAGAATGTTTTAATTCAGACGAAAAGTCAAATAGAAAATTTCGAGAAAGCAAAGAAGATTTTCAACGTTTATTAGGGGAAATGATTGGAATGTATAGAAGAAGCAGACTTCCTGAAACTTTAAAACCACATCTAGATGGCCCATGGGGAAAAGAAAGTGATCAGGTATGCAAATATTTATATTGTTTAATTATCTAACTGAAAGTCAATACTAACATTTGTAAAGAAATGTTATTTATTATTATGTTTTTAAAATGTCGTTTGATTTTTTTTATATGTTTAAGCATTAAACTGTATATGTTGGTTTCCTGCTGACAGTTGATTATGCAGTGAAATCATATATTCAACCTGAAAGAGCAATAAATCGTCGGTGTATAAAAATGACAAAACAAACAGATTCTTAATATGTAAAGGTTTCAGTCATGTTTGACCATGATAAGAAATGTTGTTGATACAATATCACACAGAGGGAAAACAAATTATAAAAGAATATATAGAAAAAGTACATACAAATTATAATTTATTATACTTGCAGGTTATAAGGAGTTTGTACCGATTAAGCCCGTCAGTTAGAGGGTACAGTTACAAGTTTATCACAAGACTACAAATCCACGTTTTTGGCAATGATATTGAAAAGCTGAGACCGAAAATTGCAGAAATACTTAACAACCATGGGATTAAATCAGACTCTTATGATGTCGTCCCACCGCTTGATGATGTCAAGCAATTTAGCAAAATACTTTCCGGGTCGAGGGTGGAAGTGGATGAAAGCAAGCACTTTGGCAGTTTAACAAGTTTTGTGAAAATGACACCAAAGACACAGAAAACGAAAACGTACTGTTCACTTGCATCAAAACATCTGCTTCAAGGACAAAAAACGCTTGATATTTTGAGCAAAGAACGAACTTTAAAAGCTGATGTTATTGAAAAAACGGCTCCTCTTGGTGACTTGAATATGCTGTTTGATATTGCTGCAGCCAGAATTAAGAAGGAAGATGAATTGCACTGTGACGGTAGATTCAAAACAGAGAATGGAACGTTAATGAAGGGCAAGATGAATAAAGATGATTCAATTGATTGTCTACACGTGCACATGTATGGGGCTGAAACACCATTTAGTCGTGGAATCATCGCTACCACACAATATATTAACATACACTCTTCTGTAAATGGAGAAGAGTCGCAACCAGAAGCCGTGGAAGACGATATAAATGAGGTTAATAGATTTATATATGTTCAAAGTAGAGACAAAACCAAGCCATTTTGTAAACAAGGTGACAGTGGAGCTATGGTATGTGCCGACCACGAAGAAGATAATCATGTTGAATTGATTTCAAGTGTGATTGGAGGACCTTTAATTGTTAAAAACAAAGATGGGAAAAACATGATTACCGATTCTTACCAAACCCTTAGGCTAAGAAGTGGCGTTGATTATTTAGAAAAGTTAACTCAAAGTGACATTGAATTTTTTGATTCATAAAGTCAAAGAAGTAAATGTGCTCGAAAAATGACCTGTTATTTTGACAAAATGTAGTTATGAACTCAATATTTTAATCGCACGCTCATAATTATATTTATAACAGATTTTATTTCAAAATCTTCTTGAAGATCTATATTGTATTTTTATCAGTTATGATCAAATTAAGAGTTCTTATACATTTCTTACCTATATTTAAATTCATACATTCTTGCTTCAGTTTAATGAACCTTTTTCCATATCTAAAATTGCGGTATGTTTGTCGAAAACAACAACAAAAACAAAAATATAACAACGACAAGGAGAAATAAAAACACAAAAACAGGTTTGGTTAATAATAACAGTTCTTTCCTCTTAAAATATATAGCTTTCCATATTAGAAGGGTCAACATGATTTAGTTAACGATTATTTTTGTTTTAAAAAATCAGTAGTTATTGTTCGTTTTAGTGTTATTTGACAGGCTAATCATTTCGGTTGTTAATTGTCAAGAATTATGTTTAATTTCATAATCGACTATACACATAACTTACATTACATATGTAAATTATAACATTTTTCAGGGTGATTGACATGTTTAATTGTATTTTAAGAATTAAGTTCATGTACACAATTTTGAGAAGAAAAGAAAAATATTTTTATGATACTTATACAGTTAAGACAGAAAAAAAGTGTAACGACTGGAATTAAACATATTTGCATGTGTGTTCTTTATATAATTTGTATAAAAGCAGATGGTATCGTTAAAGTTACTATAACTCATCATTTAATTGTACATTCCCACGTTTGCTATTAGCCATATATATATATTGTATACTTGGCCAAGAATTGTAATATTTTAGCAGATATTCCATTCTGATTGTTCTATAATATGGAACCTAGAAATATAGAATGTGTATGGGTTGAAATTTTATTATCTCAATCTAAACGTATTCTGTTTGGTACTTTTTATCGACCTCCCAATGCAGATGCACATTATACAACTCTTATCGAACACTCTCTTAACTTGGCAGAAGAAACAAATATAACAGATATAATTGTAACTGGAGACTTTAACTTTAATCCATCTAATCCGACATTATCACGCAAACTTCTTTCAATTTGTCAACAATTTCACCTTGAACAACTCATAAACGAACCTACACATTTTACCGAGTCGTCAGCATCTGTTTTAGATCTCTTTCTTGTTTCTTGCAGTCACCGAGTAATAACATCAGGTGTTGGGGAATCAGTTTTGGACCAAAACATTCGCTTCCACTGCCCTATTTTTGCTCTTTTTTTCATTTTCTAAACCTAAATCAGGATCTTTCAAGCGTTTTATATGGTTATATGATCGCGGCAACTACCACACTCTGAAACAAAGTATTATGCAAACTGACTGGGATCAATATACAAACACCGACATAGATGAACACGCAACTTTAGTAAGCAACAAAATTCTCGAAATTTCAAAGCAGTACATTCCTACAAGAACAATAATAGTTGAACCGACTGATGCAGTAAGGATAACAACTAAAATCAAACAGCTTATTCGTAAAGCAAAAAACTTTATCACAGAGCCAAACAAACCCAAAATCCTTTGCACTGGCACTCATTCAAAAAATACGTAATGAAATCCTCTCACTTATTTATACGGCCAAACGTAACCACATCAAGAAACTTGCAGACTCTGTTACATCAGACAACACATCGCAGAGAGACTGGTGGAGACTCATTAAATCATTCATATCACCGACTGACAAGCAAACAATTCCGCACTCTCTCACCCAGTCACTCAAAGACTTTCCTATGATAACAAATCAAAATCCGACTTATTGAACAACTATTTCAGCAACCAGTCCTCTCTTGAAAACTGTAATAAAGAAGTTCCTGGCGATTTTTTTCGAACAGTCTGTGAACACTCTCACTCAATTAGTATTACAACTCAAGATGTTGAAGATGCTATCAAAAACTTTAAATACCAATAAAGCTTCTGGGCCCGATGAAATAAGTAATCGTATCTTGTTCGAAACCTCGTCCGTAATCAAATATCCACTCTGCTCTCTTTTTAATCATTCACTCCTAACTTGTAAGATTCCCCAAACTTGGAAAGATGCCAACATTTGCCCAATTTTTAAGAAAGGAGATCCATCGTTACCCAGCAATTATCGTCCTATATCACTATTGTGTTGTATGGAAAAAGTTTTTGAACGCATTTTGTTTAAGTATATCTTTAACTTTCTTCATGATAATGATTTTATATCGCCCTTCAATCTGGTTTCAAACCTGGCGACTCAACTGTGAATAAACTAACCTTTATCTTCATCTCTTTCTGAAAGGCTCTTGATAAAGGTCTTGAAATACGGATTGTCTTTTTCGACACCAGCAAGGCTTTTGATAAAGTGTGGCGTCTCCTGCTCAAACTAAAAGGTGCCGGTGTTCTGGGACCCCTCCTCTGGTTTTAGGACTACCTTTCAAATAGACACCAATCTGTTGTCCTTCCTGGGATCAAATCTGATTGGTCTGTAATAAACGCAGGAGTTCCTCAAGGCTCGATTCTGGGTCCGCTTTTTTTTTAGTTTATATCAATGATATTGTTGTTGACTTAAGGTCCTCTGTTTAATCTTTTTTGCCGACGATTACCCAGTTTGTATTTGATCGTTTGTATTCATTCCAGTTACTACGGCTGACATTCTTCAATCTGACATAAACAAGATTTCTTCATGGGCTGACAAATGGGCTAGTAAAGTTTAATCCTTCCAAATCTGAAACCATGTTAATCACACGTAAAAACATCAACAACAGTTCCATCCACCCCTCCTAATGCCCAAAACCAGACCATATCTTCAGTGACATCTCACAAACATTTAGGCTTACACTTTTCTGACGATGGTTTCCTGGCATATTCACATTAATCATGTTAAGGAGATGGCGTGGAAACGTATACATATAATGCGCAAATTAAATTTTCAACTTGATCGCAAAATCTTTTAGAAATTAATTACTTATTTTACTCAGGCCAATCCTAAAAAAAGCCGATGTTGTTTACATCAATTGTACCCTTTTAAAAAAAGGGGTTTGAACTAGAAAAAATCCAACATAAAAAGTTCTGAATTTGTTTTCTTTAAATTAAAACTTGGTTCTTCTTTTTGGGCTTCAAGGGAAGGTCCGGGGAAAAACCCCCTCGGGGCAGCAAAAGGGGAAACTAAATTAATTTTCTTTATAAGATGAAAAAGGGAAACTCTCCCGCCCTACCTATAAACTATTTTTCCCTCCTCTTTTTGGGGTAAAAACCAACACGTTATAATTTAAGAAATTCGAAGGATAAAAGGGAAATTCCCCCCAAAAAACCCATTTCTTTTATACTATCTAACCCGCTTTTTTCCTTTTCAGGGTCTCCATAATAACTAAGAATTAATAACCAATTGATGTTACCAAAATGCCCTACATTATCTGCTTTTTAAGTGTCTTTTGAATAGAAACATAACAAAATGTCCAAAATTTTTCTATACAGGTGTTCGAAAATGGCAAATATATCATGCACGTCTTCGAACAGAGTGCAGTTCTTTAAACTACCATCTATACAGAAAAAATATTGTTAACTCACCTTTATGTCAATGTGGATTGGTAGAAACTAAACCATCATTTTTTCTTTGAATGCAAACAATACAGTAATATCAGACACAGCCTTTTCCAAACTCTTTCAGCCTACTGTAATGTCACTCTTCACACACTACTTAACGGCGATACAAACTTAAGTGACGATATCAATATCAGCATATTTCAGGCAGTTCAAATGTTTATCCGAGACAGCAAACGATTTTCATAGTCTATGATACATTGCTCCTCCAATTTACTCACCGAATAGATCCTCCTCTTTTCTTCTACTTATGAAATTAAGTTTCTTTGTGTATCTTAAATTATGAAATTCTAAACTTTATACAGTTATAAACAGACAATTATTGCGTCTAATCTATTAAGTCCCTATTCATATATCTTTCAGATAGAAAACTTCTACTAACGCCCCTTTTTGTTTCTAGGTCGCTAATTTGACTTAGTGACGACAGTAACGTATCTTCTACATTTTTGTAATCAATTACTTTTTACCTAAATTCAATATTTCAAACATTTTCAAAACCCGTCATATTTATAGTAACTAATCTTATGTCAGGAAAAGGCCTTTATAAGCATTTTATGCTTTCGGATCTGATCCTTTTTCAGCATTGTATTGTTATTTTCACCATTGTATGTAAATCTTGTATGTGTAAAATGTTCGAAATTAAAATATGTTTAAACTATAATATGGACATTTACCATCAGAAATGGTATTCATTTTTCAGGCACATTTTTTTTTTTTTCTCTTTTTCATGAAATAATTTACATTTAAAGTGGCATTTCTTTGTTTTCTTTAAATATTCCGAGTCTCCCTTTCTTCTATCAATGTAGTTCATGAAGCGGGAGCATCTAAATATGCTAACGCAATGCCGTAAATGTACATTGTTAATACAATTAAGATATTTCTCTGAGAAAAATTACTTTTTAAATAAGCAATATCTATCTAATTTTGACATACTATGGATATCATTATACCACATTTGATGTATTCATCTTTGACTCTTTGCATTGATTGTTGCAATTGACCATTTGAAATATCAACGTAGTTCCACTGCAATTTACAATTTTTGATGATACACCATAAGAAATAAACTTGAACCATATACCATTTATGTACACGACACCGAACGCCTTTAAAATCAACACAAGCTATAAATATTTTCGTTTTTTACATAATCCAATATCCTATTTATATTACTATTCAAAACAAAAAAAGCAATCAACAGTGTTTTTCCTTTGCTGAGAGCAAATTGACATTCGTCTAATACATTTACAATTAGCGACCACTTTCTTATACTATTATCGAAAATGATTGAAAATATTTTTGAAAAAAAAAAACAAAAACTTGTAAGGGTAATACCTCTATAATTATTATCATTGGTCAGATCACCTTTTTAGGTACAGGGACCACAATACATTTAGTCCATCTTTCTGGATATATACATTTTGAATACCTGTGGTTAAATAATCTACATAATAAGGTAAAATAATATGTTTTGAATCTATAAAAAGTTCAGGTGTAAGAAGATCATCCCCACTACTTTTGCCTTTTTTAAGAGAAGTAATAGCCCTTTCTATTTCTTCAATTAAAGAATCTACATCTCATTCATCAAAAATATCATCTGATTCCGAATGAATTATATTATCCTCTACATCCCTATCAGTAAAAATATCCTTGTCACCGTACAGATTTATAAAAATGTTCATAAAATTTAACTTTTCATTTCAGTGTGACATAAACTCTTTGATATTATTGTTTTGTTGGCTTTTGAGACTAACGAAGTGTGACATATATTTGTCACACTGAAAACCTCATGTTTAATGATATAATGGCTTGCAGTGAATATTTTGTAATGTGCTTTATTCTTCTTTTTATTCCTTTGTTTTAAACTTCATAATTTTGATTACTCAAGATTTAATAAAGTATATTTTTAGGTTGTGTTATTTATCATTCATTATTATATTGGCTGAATTGTGCTATATCAATTGTGGTATTTAAACTATATTCAAAACAGAAATGAATCACAATATTTTAAGATTGTGGAAAAGTCAAAGTTACTATTTATTCAGACAGGCGCATTACATTGAAGATCGTTTAAGACACCAGTCTTAACACAGAAAAAAGCATATAAATATTTATATAAATTTAGAGCTATCTCGCGTTTATCAATGATGTCAACATCCGATCATGCAATATAATCGGTACATGTACTAGTGAAGACACCTACATATATTCGTCAGTTTTATCTAAAATCTACATTGACATTTCCAATCTG